GGGAAGAGCACAATGATCACAATACAACATGGGCCAGTGAAGCGACATCCTCCACAACTAGACTGAAGAACAAAAGGACAGCAACTTGTCTGTTCCCCTTCCCTGATTCCCCAATACTGTTCCCTCTCCCAATTCCCCAATAAAATCTTTAAAAAAAAAATAGTACTTCTGAAGAAATGTTTAATAAAAAGAAATTCATTCCCTTCCCGGTAGGAATAATAAATAAAACGTGCCTCCTCTTTTGCTCCAGTAGACATATGATAGATAACCTTTATATAACTCTGCTCTGGGTCATTTTATTGGAAAGTTACTTCAATGACAAGGTGACCAGAATGGCTAGAATGACTTGTAGGTTTGGGAGCAAATATATAATCATATACCGATTAAAACATAGCGTAAAGCAGAGAGTGAAACGTTAGCTCTTACTGGCAAGTTTCCTTCATGAGGATAAAAAGGGAAATAAAGTTGAACAGATAACGTACTTTCTTCTAAAACCTGACAGTAATTCAGTCCTCTAGGAAAAAAAGTCAAAAAGTGGCAAGTAAACTTTTACAATGGAGACAGCCTAGCAGAAGGAAAAATGAGGTCATGGAGTAAACTTGAAAAGCCAGCCCTAGAATGGGAGTTAGATCCTGCCAGGAACTCTTCTCAGAGAAGAAACATGATAGCTCCTGATGTCTTCTGGGTCTCTGCTCAATGTCAGCCCACCAGCGAGTCCTCTTTACCAACCAATGTGAAACAATCAATCCTCCTTGCTGATGTTCTATGTAGCACTTTTTACCACGTGACACATTAAGTCATTTGTTGTTTAATGTATGTCTTTCCCACCAAATGCAGCATTGAAGAAGGAAGCATTTTACACCTTATACACCAACCACATTTCACTTTGCTGCTTTATAACCACTGCTCAGAACTGTGCCTGGAGCATGGAGAGTGCCAGTGCATGCTGAATGAATAAATAAACCCCAGTTTTATTTTTCTGGTGCGTGTTTAAGTCAAGCCCTAGAAGGACTTGGTGTTGTACATCTTTTTCAGGTAAGTTATTTGAAACAGAAAAGGGGCAAAAAACTACAGTTTTGCTGGAAAGCTGAAACACTGTGCCAGATACAGGGGTACACCAAGCAAAGTGCTGATGGCAAACATTCCGTAGAGTGAAACAAAGCAAGAGGGCCTTCTGAAGCGTCTGGACTGCCTCTTTGAAAACAGCATGTGGAAAATCTTTGGCTGTAGATAAAACAGCCTATCACAACAGTTTTTCAAATTGAAAACTCCAGTCCTCTAGTGAGCTATGAAATCAATTGAAAAGCTTGTAATAAGCGTTCAGAAAAAGAACCAGGATAGGAACTATCAAAGCATCATCTCCAAGAGGAAAGTCATTCCATGAAATGCCAACAAAAGTCATACACATACTTATACAATACGTGAAATGTTTGTTGTGGTTACAATGAAAGATGCGTGGTTCATGATAAAAAAAAATGTGGGGCTGGCCGAGTGGCGCGATGGTTAAGAACTCGCTTGGGATGCCAGAGGGCCCCGGTTCGGATCCCACATGAGGGCCAGTGACACT